TTCCCTACAGTTTTAATCTTTTTGTACAGTTAAATTGCAGTGCAGCCTGGGGAGCTGGAAACGATTACTCACTGCATCTCCACTTAGCCCTGGCCTCTTCATTCGGTGGGGGGAGTGTTGCTGTGTTAACAGTCAGCCAAATCCCTCTAACCCCAGCTCCAGCAAGGCAGCCTAGCCCCATCACCCTCACAGGACAGCACAGAAGAAAAGTGGTCCCAACGCTCATGTGTCTTTGCTTCTCCATCCCCGGGTGTCCCTGGCAGGACAGAGGCTTGAGGCTGGCTGTGGGGGGAACAGCCCCCAGCGCAGAGCAGTACATCCCTGGTTTTTGGATATGGCCTTTGCAAACAGCTCAGTGGATCTGGAAGTTTTTGGTTTGGGTTGGGTTTTATTTTTTTTTTTTTTTTCCCTTTTTTTTTTTAAGTTTTAGCTCAACTCTAAGGAAGCCTCTAAAATAGCAAGTTCTACGGAAAGGGCTTTCCAGAGGGGTCCAAGACTGGAAAGAAAAGAGTTGAATTGTAACAAAGAGAAGAAGGTAAATTGCTTCACTCTCCTGATGTCACCCTGCTTGTTCTACAGCTCCCAGGAGGGGGGCCCTTACTGCTTTTTAAGGGGCAACTGGCACCCTGAATGTCTGTGCCAAAGGGGAGCATCAGGCAGCGATGGGACAAGGACCCCAAAAAAGCTGAAAGCTCAGGGATGGTTCAGATGGTTTTTGCACATCACCATGGTGAGACACAGCTATTGGAGAGGAAGGTCAAGACCCCATTTTAGGTGAACGTTCCCATTATTCTTTGTATCTGCTTTGATTTATCTGAACAAATTCCAGAGCACCCTTGCAAGAAAGGACTATGAGGGAGAACTGTGGCCCTACCAGTTGCCAAGAGTAGGACAATGAGGCACGGGCAGGAGCAGGCAGCAGAGCTGTGGTGGAGAGCCCACCTTGCTGCAGCACGCTGTCCCCAGAGCCCTGCAACATGACCATGGCAGGTTGTGAGGAGAGAGAAAGGATCATCAGATCAAACCACCTTTCACTTCTCATCTGGGGTTGTTCCTAAACCATCACCTGAGACCCCAGAACTGAACCTTCACCACAAATACAAACAGATTCAGACTGGGGGGCAGCAGAGAGGAACTATTAAACCAAAGTGGAAAACATTAGCTCTTCTAGGACCAAAAATGGTTTTGCTGCCACTTCTCAACCCTGACCACCACTGCACTGCAAGGCATGAGGAGCAACAGAACACCAAATGTTGAACCACACATGCACAACACCAGCATCAGCAACAGGAGGCACCAGTGGGAGGGGATGCTGAGGCAGGAAAACAGGGCAGGATTAGACATGATGGACTCAATGAGGCTCCTTCTGAGGATTCACCTGTCCTGCATCCAGCTCGGGAGGAGCTCTCAAGCTCCCTCCTTTGTGAAGGGCCAATGGATGTATCTGGATGAAGTATTGCTGCTCCCAAAACGATTCCCATTTCCTCTCCTTGCTCAGCAGCATGCAATGGAAAGCAGACCTGTGGGGCTGACCCCCTGCCCAGGGGGGTCCAGAACAACCAGGGAGGAAGAAGAGGGTCAGAAGCAGGAGATGATGGGGGCTAAGCAAGCCAGGCAGGGTCACCAAGGCAGGACCCAGCTGCCAGGCAGAAACTCGTAAATTCTACCCACCGAAGAGAGACTCCTGCAGCGCCCAAGGCTGTGGGTCACAACCAGCACTTCCCCTCACCTTCTACTTCATGTTTATTTTTAATTGCTTCTGCCTCTTTCTGCCTTTTGCATATTCTCCCCTTGCCTACAGCCACTGCATGACCCTGCTCATGTTTCTCTGGATGACTCTGACTCTATCAGTCTCCATTGCCTGGTCATCCCATCACATCCCCTCATCCCAGCTGGGCAGCACCAGCCACCATGGGGACACGAAGTCCAGCTTTGCCCGGGATGCTAGTGTGCTGGTATCTCACACCCATGACGCACACCTCTGTCCCATATCTCCCTATCACCAATGGCCCAACTCCATGTTAAACCTGCAAAAGCACAGCCAGTGCTCCCCAGGGAGCACAGGAGAGGGAGAACAGGGATGGGGAGGAATATTTCTTGCTCTTCTGCCCCATGAAGACACCTCCTGCCCTCCTCCACCTCGAGAACCATGGCTCTGGAGCAGGCTCAGCCCACGCCACCAGCCGCACAGCCCTAACGAAGCTTGGTGCTATAATTACTCCTTTCCTTTGTGGTTTGCTCTGAGCTGCCAAGCTCTGCCATTGCCCTCCTCCTCCCACCAGCCTCTTCCTGCACAACACACTCTCCTGCATACCTCCAGCAGCGGGACAAGGGGTTAAGGACAAGGCAGCTGAGCCAGCAGCTGAGGAAGGCAGGTCCCAGCACAGGCAGCTGCCTGCCTCCCCTGCTCAGCTCTTTGTGCTGGAGTGCCACCGAGCATCGGGATCAAGGGGCATCCAGTGCCATGGAAGCATCTCTTGGGTGCCCCAAACTCTGCAAACAGCAGGAGGGAGCAGGAGTTCACACCAGACATCAGGGAGCCCAGGTTTTCACTTAGGGGGCTGTGGTGGGGGCCAGAGCTGTAGTGGAGCCGGTGAGCATCAACAACATGCCTGCATCCACCTGCAGGGCTCCCTGAGGTCTCCCAGCAACAACGAGAGATGCCATCCACACATCCAGCATCACCCCACAGAGGGTATTGTGGACCAAGGGAGGAATGTTCTGCAACAGGGTCCTGCATAGGAGCAGCCCATGGAGCTGCAAGTCATCGTGATGGAGGACGTTGGAGATGACTGGGAAGGGAATGAAGGCTTTGGCAGTGACCCTGAGCTGTACATTCATGATGACACAGAGGAAGGAGAAGCCAGAGCCCTCCCTATCCCTACAACTTGGTCTCCTGGCTCTTCTTGAAGGCATTTAGACTGAAAACCCCTTTTGTACCAGGAGCAAGGGCTGGCTCACTCTGCAAGGCAAGCCTCAGACAGCTGGGCTCTGGGGTAAAACTCATCCCCAGCAGCTGTCCTGGGCTTCTGGAGTCCTTTTGATGCAAAGAGCCTCCCTCTGCCCCTGTCCCCAGGCAGCTGGGGCATTCAGCAGCTTAGATGGTCTTTTGCTCTTAAAGTGCCCAACTGTCCTCAGTTCAGAGCTTGGGAAGCTTAGAGCAGCCCAAACCCAGCAGGATGAGGCTGAGCACCCACCCATGGGAGAAGATGGGCCTCCTGTGCACCACGCACATGGCAGCTGGGGATAGAGAGAACCCATAAGGGAGGCCCAGGCTGAACCCCATCACTGGGCTGGGTCTTAGAGCTCAGCCATGCCTAGCTGGAGATGGACCAACCTGACACTTGATGAAGGCGTCTGTCCACTCTTTAAAACCCAGCTCAGAGAAGCCACACCTAAGCCATACACATGCACAGTGGGAGAAACCCACTTCAGCCTTGAGTTCAGAATCAGCTCCACCACTGACTCCTGGGTTTAGACCATGCACACACCCCAAAACCTGGCCTCTCCACAGACCCCATTACTGCCCTGTGACTGCCATGCCCATGGAACAGGAGCAGGGACTATCCCATGGCAGGGTGAGACAAGAGCGCATGGTCCTGCTCCGAGGCGAGGCATGGACCTCCCAGCTCCTGGTTCGGCCACCACACACCAACCCGCAACCCCAGGGAGAGGCAGGGGTGGGTGAGAGGTGGTGCCCTCCAGCCAACCGCTGCATCCCACAGGAGAGAGCTCGTGGGTAATGGGAAAAAGAATTAACAGGCCAGAAGAAGGGAGAAAAGAAATGTCCAAAACATCAGGGAGAATAAATGAGGCTGTCGGGGGAGGGAAGCTGGCTTTAATACAGAATCAGAAACAAGAGAGAGCTAATATAAGCCAGGACTCCAGTTTAATAGTGGCTCTGGTCCATGATGTTATTAGACTTTGGCTCCACGGCCAAGAAAACACTGACTCCTCCTAATGAGGAGGCGCTTTCTGCCCACAACCATAAGCAACAACACTAAACAACAAACCATCACAACAACCACACACTTCAACACTAAACAACGAACCATCACACTTCCACAACCACCACCTCTCCAGCACCTCTGAGCCTGCTCTAGATGCTGCGCAGGCAGGCTGGTCTGCCCACGGGGCTTGAGCTGGCACAACTGTCATCTTCTGCAAGCACCCAGACTTTTGGCATTTTCTTTTTAATCTCCATATAGGCTTGATAGCATTTTTTATTCAAACTGACAGTTCTTTCAGCCAGGATAAACCCAAAGATAACAACCATGTATGTGACACATCTGAGCACAGATCCAAGGCATCACCACCGGAGCTGAAAGAGCAGAACCCAGTGCTCAGCACCCCCACATGAGCTCTGAGCCTCAGCCAGCATCTCACCCAAGCAGCTGCCCGGAGCTGTACTCACCTTCTTCTCTCTTTGGTGGGCTCTCCATCAGCACAGGCTGTGGCTTTGGCTCTGCCTGGGGAGGCTGGGTGGCCACTGGAGGCTCCGAGCTCTCCACTTGCCGCGCTGGTGGGGCTGGCACCTCGGCGGCCTTGGCTACCTGAATTTCCACGCGCTTGGTGGCCACGTCGGGCACAGGAACATTGGCCACCTCGGCTCTTCGCTGGGGCATCTCAGGGATCTTTGATGGTGGCGCTTCTACCCTCCGGAGACCCGGCTCCTGGGGCTTGCCGAGGGTGATCTCAGTCCTCCTTGGCGTGGGCTCGGGGGGTTTGTGCCCCAGCACATCTGCCCTTTTGAGGCCAAACCTCGTCAACCCTGAGGTGGAGTTCTCCACCTGCTTGGAAGAGATGTCAATGGAGATTTCTGTTCTTCTGGACACCGGCTCAGGCAGTTTGGGTCCGGAAGGCTCCACTCTCCTCAGAGAGGGCTTGGGTGATCTTTGCCCTGTGGGGTCCGCATGTCGGGCGAGTGGCTCCGAATTCCTGGCGCCGAGTTCCTGAAACTTCTGTGTGGAGCTGGATACAGTGGACCTGAGGAGAGGGTTCGGGGTCCGTCGTTGCGGGGTGGAGGAATTTGAAGACTGATCTACCTCCTCGACCTCAAAAGATCTTTTCAGAGCTGAAAAACATGAGAAGGAGTTCAGAATTTAGTTACCATCCACCTGAGCATCTCAAGAGAAACTTAGAGGCTTTGTGTGAGGCTCACAATCCCATCTCTACTCCTTCACATGGGGGTTCATAATACCATTTAAAGCAGGTGGAGACTGAGAGTTGGGCTCTGCTTCTTCAGACAAGTTACAAACCCAGTAACAAAACTGGAACCAGAGCCAGGAAATTCAACCCCAGAGCAGAAACCATCTCCTCACTGCCCTCATCCCATGCATGCTCAGAGGGCCCCAGTGCAGCACGACAGAGCACAGCACAGGACTCGGGGGCAGCCACTGCTTCAACTCCCAACACCTCCTTTTCCCTCTCCCATCTGAAGGATGCATACATAAGCACAGGCTTCCCAGTGAGTGCTGCCAGGAAAATCCAAGTTGGGAACAGGAAAACAATCCCAGGAGAGTACCAAATCCCTTTAAATGCAGCAAGAAAACCAAAGGTGTCAAACACAGAAGCCCATATCCTTAAAAACAAACCTAGAGATCACCTCAGACAAAGACTGAAGTGCTTTGAGAACACTGACATCAGACCCTGATACAACGAAGAGGCCAACTGGGAGGCCTTAGGGACATCCTAAAATCTAAACATCATCATCCCCATTTTACCAGCGGAGAAGTTAACAGGCAAAGAGAGACACACGCAGCATCAGATTGGACGTTCTGATTTACATCTGAATAGGCAGTGGTGCTGCCTTCACCGAGCCCCCGCACTGTGCAGGATCTGCCCCAGCTGCAGCAGAGCAGACGCACAGGTAACCCTGCACAGCGGAGCAGCACTCAGACAAGCGCCCGTCATTCAGCTTTGCCCATCACACGGGTCCCCCTCAGCACACAGAGCTCCGGGGCTGGGCACGCTACATATGAAAAATCCCCCAAGCATCCCAAGCCAGGAGCATGTCAATGGAAACTGGAGGGACACTGGTGTCAGACTTCAGCTTCGGGGCACAAAGCATCACTGAAGGAAGCCTCCATCCATGGAGTGATGCTCCCATCCCAGCTATGCAGTGAAGGGCCAGTAGCTGCCTGACCATGTCCTGACTCATGCCTGGACATCCACGTGTCCCCCAGACAGCCCTTCCCACACCCAGCCAGTCCTCTTCAAAGAAGTGGACTTTAAGCCTTTAAGCCCAGAAGCCAGGTGGAAACAAAAGGCAGAACTTCACAGGAAGGGGGGGAAATGCAGAGAACCACCACTAGATCCCATCCAAACACCACAGGCTACCCATACCCCCCCATGCCCCACAGTACCCAGGCAGGCACAGGGTTGGGGCAGGATGAGGCACAGCCCTCGAGTCCCAAAGCAGTCCCCATGAGGCAAGGCTGAGCCACATGGTGACAGCCTCAGCATGATGACAGCCATGCTGCTAACAGCCAGTACAAGCATCAGTAACGAGTCCACCCATCCTTCACATCGGCAGGATAATACCAGTAAGATTTAGCCTTTAAACCCCTGGACTTGAGACTCCAGGTTCCAGGAGACGGGGGAGACTGGAGCACAGCCTTCCCTCATGCCGGGACATCCACCCACCCCTGTGGTGGAGCTGGAGAAGAGCCACCACACAGGGAGCATCTCCTCTGATCCATTGGGCTGCTCTGACTCCTGGGGCAGGGCCAGGGGGCCCAGGGACACTCAGACACGTCCTCCTTGGAGGGGAGCCATGTGGCACGGCTGCGTCCAGCTGGTGGGACAGGGATGTCCATGTGGCTCTGCTCCACCAGCAATTGCAAACGCAGCTGCTGACACCCGCCTGCTCCAGGCAGGACAGGCAGCGCTTCCATCCCATCCTGGGCAGCAGGAGCTGGGGACAGTGGTGGCCCCATCCCATGGCAGCAGCTCTCAGAGGAGATGGTGAGGAAATACAGACCCCTGGAGCTGGGGCTCTCATGCTGGACAAGCCACACAGGAAGGCCTGTCCTGCATCTCCAAAATATCCAGCCATTGGTAGAAGGAGGGAGGGAGGCAGTGAAGTAAAATAAAGATGTTTTTCCTCCATTTTATCTATTTTGTGAGTCACACAGAGCTCTCCAGCCATGTCACCAACCGCTTGCAGAGGAGAGATGCTCCCTGCAGCAATCTCTGCCCTGCAGTCTGTGCTTGGCACATCTTGTGCACTGCAGGTCTGCGTGTAAGTCTCAGTTCTCAGCACCCCCAGAACAATCAACTCAGAAAATTCCCACATTTGAGAGCTGTTCCAACGTGTCCGTAACTCCCACATCTCCAAAACTGAGCTGGAGCTCAGACTTTCCAGCACAGACTTTTCTATCATTTTCCTTCTTCATCACACCCTTAATGCAGAAAATGACATTTTAGCTATTTTTTCCCTGAAATCCCAATTTTAAAACAATACACCAGTCAAGCCCGGTTTGCATTCTGCAGGAAAACAAAGAGAGAGGAAGGGGCAGCCTAATGGGGTGCCTTTCCCTGGCCTTGAGCAGCACCGGGCAGGCAAGAGCAGTGGAGGACACAGCCTGGCCAGGCACTGCCATCAACCCAATGGATGGGGTCTCAGTTGTGTCCACATCAGGCTTTTAAAACCTGCTCATCACTCCTGCAGCTCAGCCTCCATTTATTCCCTTCAATAAAGCAGCCCAATAACCTCATGACAAATGCATCTGGAGGAACAGTTTGAAGCAAAATGCTCTTAAGGAACCGAACAGCAATGGAAACAGTCAAGCATCTTTCCTAAATGAACATCACCCTGGAAATTTCTCAGTACCAAGTGGTTTGGGGATTTCTTTTTGACCCAGTAATGAGCTCTGGATGAACTTGCAGGGTTCATGGCATGAACCACCTCCATCATCTCAGCTCCTCTGATGCCACTAGCTACTGCTAAAGAAATGGTGGCAGCAGTGACTGAGTGGTGGGTCACCAGATGGCATTGCTGGAGCTGCTGCACATGGGCCTTTCTTTTGACTTCAGACTTCTCAAAGTGCCCCAAGCCCAGGGTAAACCTGCCCAACACCACCAGCACAGTCTTTCTGGAGCACAGCCATCCCCTGCCTTATCGAAGGGCTGGACTGAACACAACACCCAAAAATGGCTCTACTCCAGGTCTCTCTGCACCCTGCTGCAGAAAGGAGAAAAAGGTCGAAGTCCAGACACAAAGGGGTTCAAAAAGCCTAAGGAAGAGCTGGAAAACCACGATTACACCACAGAAGAATTAAGCCATTCAGTCATTCCAGCTGTGGTCCCAATGGGTAGTAAGGAGGTACCAGGGGCTGGGTAAGGAATTATCACCCCATGTGAGGGTTAGAAATGGCTTGGCAGCTCCTGACAGCAAGATCACAAGGATCCCCAGGTCCCAATGGCATTCCCTCCCCAACAGTGTCACTGATTTGCCAGGAGACAACCCGAGAGCTTCCCCACCATGGCTCTCTGCAGGATGGGATGTCGTGGTTGCACAGGGATTCCAGTTCCCAGCTTGTCCTGCTGGCACATGTGGCCCCTGCCCTGAGTCCAGCGTGGTCTGGAGAAGGTCAAACATCCCAGGCACGAGAAAGGAGGGGGCCTGTGGCTAATAGAGTTTGTGTTTCCACCTCCAAGACAGAGACCTGCAGCCACAAACATGATCCTCAGGGACGCCACCTTCAATAGTGGTGTCCTTTGGTGCACGGCTGCAGCTCCTCTGCTCATCATTGCCTCTCTCCTGCTCCTTGCACAGAGAAAAGAGAAGGACCTCAGGAAGCAAAACAACTCTCAAAAAAAGAGAAAAAGCTTAAAAATAGCCTGTCCTGCCCAGAGCCAAGAAAGGAAAGTAAACAGCCTCTGCTCCAATGACCCTCCTCCCAGCTTCCTGCAGGGAAGCTGGCGGATCCACTCAACAACAGGAGCCGAAGGCAGGGCAGAGCCGCAGGGCCCGCACCCGGCTCCCACCCCACAGTGCTGGGTCCTACCCCAGCAGTTGTAGCTAATGCCTTAGGTCCCTGTGGGGCTCCAGAGCCGCATGTCCCTGACACCTTGGGCCAAGTGTCCCATCCCTGAGCAGGGCCCAGGATGGACTTGCTGCAGGATTATCCCCATTACGTAACTTTCCAAGCGATTTTCAGGACCAGCAAGGCTTCCCCATCCCCACCAGCAGCATCCAATATGCTGGCTCCGGCCAGAGGCAGCCTGGCGTTTTTTTAGAGGCAGAGGTGCCTCTTTCCTCCTTTTCCTCTGGAGGTGTGTGCACCATGGGGTGTGAGCACAGCACGGTGCTACCATCAAGACCCGCTTCCTTCTAACTGATTCAGGCAGCTCTGGCTCAATCCACCATTGCTGAAGGCAGCATCTCCCCTCCCACAGCAGGGAAAGCCCCAAAATATGATTTCGAAGTGCTTCCTTTCAGATGTAACCTCTTCCCCTGCCAATCTCTGCCCAGAAGCATTGTGCCTTGGCTGGGAACTGCTCCCTGCAGTGTCCCTTTGGGGAGCAGATCTTTGCACCCTACTCTTGAAGTAGCGGCATTTTGCTCAGCATCATACAACCATGGTCCTGGCAGATGAGAGAGGCACGGGCTTTCTGAGATAGCACTGGCTGCAGGCAGCTCTGCTGGCTGTCCACAATGGCAGCAATTCCTTCAAACACACAATCTTCACCTAAATGTGGTCCCTGCCAACCAGGCACTTTGGGAAAGAAATGCATGTCTTCATCCCAGGCTTGAACACTCCCCAAAGCAGGCACAGGGCTTGAGAAGTAGCAAAATATTCATGTGTCTTTCTATTCTGTGCTGCAGTGCTGGAGATGTCTGCAATGTGGTCACTGCATCTTCCTGGCCACCCCACAGCCAGGCACCAGCAGATAACACGCCACCAGTTAATGCTGCTCTTTAGGGATCTTGCAAACTGGGACGAGAAGGCACAAGGAAACCTCTGTGCACAGAGCTCGGGAAGAGACCAGAATAAACAGTGAGGGATGCTGCCTCCTCTGGGACCTGCTTCACAACCGGAACCTGAGGCTCCATCACGGCCACAGCACCCAACTGCTTCCCATTAAGCATCCCCTGCCCCTCACGTGGTGCTGTGACCCCAGGGTTATATTTGCTTGCTTGCTTAGGCACAGAAAGCTGGTCTGGGGTTTTCCAACACATAAGAGCCTTATGGGAGCGGGGCAGCCAGGCCCCGGTTATTTCACACCATACAATGGTACCATTTGAGAGCGCTGCCTTTCTCTAAACTGCTACCAGATGGTCACCTCCTGTTCCCGGGGAGGAAAGAGGGGGAGGCTGCAGGTCTCATCTTTCAAGGAAACCCTTGGAAACTCAACACAGCATTAACTGCTCACAGCCCTCAAAGCTTCCCAGACCCCTGTCACGAGGCAGCAGGATGCTCACGGCAGTTTTCTGGCCCAGCTCAAGTGTAGAGTGTGTTTGCCACATTACCATGGGGCCACCTGGGTTTGGCTTATCCAAACCTACTGTCCATGATGCCACTGAATAGCTGTCACCATCTGTAAGAGGTGGATGCATTTTTGTGAACTAAAGGCTCAGTTACAGGGACAAGTAGGATGTTCTTCATATATCTATAGGGTGTATATACAGACCTAAAGGTCCTGCAGGGACAGAGGAGGGTATCTCTATCCCATCCTCAACAACCAGGTGCTCCCAACTGCACCGAGCCCCTCAGTAGGATCAAAACCACTGGGCTGAGATGGGAAATTCACTGGCAGTGCAGACAGCAAGTGATGCTACACATGCAGGACTTTGTGAGTACAATACCAGCTTCAAAAGAGCCTGAGAAATTCAGATGCCCACTTCTATCTGGAGAAATGAAGGCAGGAAACTTTAAAAGCACCTTTCCTGAAGCTACTGGTAATCCAAAGTAAGCGAGAAGTCAGAGTTGCTGGATCCCCTCCCCATGCTTATGCCAGGAGGTTTCACACCTTTCTTTTACCAATAAACCAACCTTGCTGCAATACATACATATAAACACATATATAAACACATAATGACAATCTGCTGTTGTAGCATGACCCCTACCCTATTTTGGGTCAGATTATGAATGGTTTATGCTCAAATAAATCCTTTTACTGACTTTACAAACAGCATCCAAAAGAAGTTGAAATAGATCTATTGCATGGTCTGACACAAATCATGTGTAGAAGGTAACACTGGCAACATGCTGCTAATCTGCAGTGCCTTCCTGAACTGTGCAACCAGTACCAGGAGCTGAGCCATGGAGGAAATTTGGGGATAAACACAAGTTCAGGGCTCTTACATTAACCAAAGCTTTTCAAGCAGCATTTCATTCACACACAGTAAGCTACAGAACAGCCTCAGACCAATGCAGCAAACTCCTCATTTACCAGAAATGAACATGCAAAAGCAAAATTGGGACTAAGAGTGGAAAAAAAGACAATCCACACTCAGATTAATCCAAAATCCCAGCTTGCCAGTCCCTGTAATACAGTTCTAGAAAGGTTTTAGCTTTGGTTCTCCATTACACTTTGGTTTATATAACCATTAACCCTCAGCAAAATGCTTGCAGATCAGAGCAGTGTATTTTACATCCCTTCTATTCATTTCATATTTGCACAGAAAATTACATAAAATAGAGGATCTCTAGCCCAGCAGATTGCATTACTGGCTCTGCCACAGGCTCTCTGCAGCTTTTGCCTCCTGCCTGTGCTCCAGTTTCCTTTCACATGGGGAGGAGGAAGGAGAAGAATAAACCTTCTCTGCGCCTCCCGGGGGACTGCAGATTTAGTTTGGTTCACTAGTATTTCTAAAACACCTTAAAATTACCCAGCAGGCAGAAGTGTGTTACAGATGGTCTTGCAGACCCCAGACTGCCCTATAGCAGGTGTAGGAAGCACCCAGACACCATTCCCATGGCTCCCAACACCCAGGCAGGGAAGGAGGGGAGTGACTCAGGTGGGGGACCAGCCTGGAGAGTGGGTGATTAAATCATTGAGTCTGAGCTTGAGGAGACACTGACAGGTGATGCTTAAACAGCTACAGGAAAAGGTAAATCAGCAAAATTGGCTAAAGGAGGGACCCAGGAGCCATTCAGGCCCAGTGACTGCTGCCAGCTCTGGTGTCTCTGTTGAAGGGGACATCCCAGCACTGCAATGCCAGTGGTGTCCTGAAGGCTGCAGAGAGCAGAACCTTCCCCCCTTTCTCCTCCCTGGTAAGCTAAACATGCTTTCAAAAATAATAATACATCAATCCATTCTTTTCACATTTCCCCATGTTTGCACTTCCAATGACCAGATGAAAGAAAGACTAACTCCCAACCCCACTCCTTAGCATCCTCCTTCCCTCCCAGACCAGTCCAGCTGACCAGTGCCAGTGTGATGCTGTGTGCCTGTGCCCTCACCATTAACCCCTGCCACAGCTCCCAGGGCTGGGATAAGCTGGAGAGCACCAAACTCACCAGGAGCAAGGGGCTGTACAACGTTGTGATGTTTACTCCAACCATTACCTCTATTGGTGGGAGGATGGTGGTGCAGAGCAATGTGGTCACGGAAGGCCATCTGACATTGGTGGTGCCTACACCCAGACAACATGTTGGTACCCTACCCCAGCTTGTCCTAACTTGGGTGCCAGCAACAGGGCACCTGCTGCAGCGCTGGGAAGGTGCACAGGGACAGACTGCCCTGATACCCATGGTGTGGCACCTTTTGCCATGCAAACCAGCCACGAGCCAGCCAGCTTGGACAGACCCTGCCCCTGAGTCACCACTCCAAAAGTGTCCCCAGGAGACCCAAGTGCTGAGCTTTGTCCAGCAAGCTCACAAAAGCAATCACTGTAAAAGCCTGGGTCAGAGCCAACAGGAAATAAGAGCTCTCATTAATCTCGGGACAACTTTTCTGCGTAAGTTGAAGGTGACAATAAACCCCTCCATTGCCTAATGGCTACTCCTCACCAGCACCATTTGCACAGCAGGGAAGGGAGAGAAGAGGTTCTTTCTAACACCAGCACAGCAGATGGGTACAAACTGCTGATGCCTCCATGAGTAAAGCAGAGGGGTGCCAGGACCAAATGATACCCTGCAGGTATGAAATGAAAAGTGGTCCCGTGCTGAAGGGTATGACAGCCCACCCCTGTCTCACAAAGAGTTCCCCTGAGGGACCCTGAACCCCACCAAACAGGCACAGCCCCATTGGGAACTGGACTCAGACCCATCGACTCATTTTACAGGCTTCAAATAAGCTTAACCAGGATTTAGGGTCTTGTTATATCCATGTCCTGCCTCTAAAGATTAAGAAAGTGCCAGAGCACACTGCAGCAGGAGAAAGGAGGGAGGAAGGTTGGGAGAGAGAAAGAGCCTGCGTAATGGTCCTGCAGAGAGACATTGCCTTAAAGATCAAATATCAGAGTCAGAAACATGACTATCTGGAGTGATTATGGGCTCTGCAGTATCCATTATTGTCTTTGGATTTATGACAAGTCCCAGTCCAGGCTTTTGCGGCTGCTGTCTGGGTCCTGACTCCTGGGAAAACGGGCTGAGCAGCTCCCTGCAAGGAAGGGCTGCAGAACAGAAACTAACCCAGCACCCAGACAGTGAGGCCACAGGTCACCGGAGGTGCCAGGACTCTCAGCAGCAGGTTTGCTGGCATGTATTGGCCAAGAGATGTAGACATGGTGACTCAAATCCATTAGGCGTGACCCAACATGTTCCAGAGGTGCTTCCTGCTCACTTTACTACCATAAACCACCATGAAGAAAAGAGTAAAGCAGGAGAATTGTTATATTTTAAGTGAGCTTCTTACTAAGGGAAAGATGCTACCAAGATCCCAGAGACTGGTGAGTAGTTGGAAGAGGCAGCATGTTGTACAAATTCCAAACCTTGACTTATCACCAGGCCCCAGCAGTACACTTGCACAGGCCCCAGTATAAAGCCTCATTCTCTTTCTGTCCCTTCCCACCCAGTCACTTTTGAAAGGTTTCTTCAGGACTAGCACAGCACTGTGCTCACTTTGCCCAAGAGTGATCTTCAGCGGACAACGAGAGCTCACCCACACCAGCCAACACTGGAAACCCTCCATGCTGACACAGAGCCAAGGACACTCTGCTCCATGCTGCAGCGAGTGGTTGCCCATCCCCAAGGACATGCAGCCCAGCCCTCCTTGCATAAGATGACTATAAACAATGACCTTTGGATGAGCCTACATCCTAACCGGGGCCAGAGGCTATTCCCAGAGCCCAGCTCACATGGATGGAGAGATCCACGTCCTGTTCTTCCCCTTCCCACTCCCTCACAACCTTGCTATTCCCAAGGAACTAAATATACATAGGGGGAAAAAAAACCCAAACGATAATCCACAACGGCAGGTCCCTGGTGGTGTAACGAGGCAGATATGACTTTTCCACTCTACTGAAGGCCAGTTCTATAGGGGAAGATAAAACTTCTACAGGAAAAGACACAACTCCTGCCTTCCCACAGGCACCTTCCCCTGGCTCCTGCCTCTCCCTCCACATACTGATTTGGCAGAAAACCCCCATCCTTTTGTCTCAGATTCAGGAACTTAGACAGGAAGAGTGGACACAGACAGAAAACTCCCCAACGCATCTATAAAGCTCGTCATTGAGGATACCAGAGGTGCCTTGCTGTCTCAGAGCAGCATCCTACGTCATTCAGCTGGGAAAGTGGCAGTGGCTCTACCCATGCTGGGCTGGTGATGAAGAATACCAGAAGAGACCAGTTGCAGTATAATCAACAATTGATATTCAGGAGCTTTGCTTCACTCTGAGGGTTGAGATGATCCGAGATACCATCTGAAAGATCTTTTTGCATTTCCTCTTCCAGGCGCTGAACCTCTGCACAAGCGGGACCCAGACTCCCATGGATATAAGCCCTGGCGAGAACTCATCCTGTGGACCCTCTGGCAGGGCTCCCAGGAGAGACCCTGAACCCTTCCTTACTCAGTGAGATGCTTACACAAACACAGAGCACATCTCCTCTCTGGGGCTTTTCACCACACTGAATTCGAGCCGCATCATCCACATAACATCACGCCCATCCC